TGTTGGGACTGATGCCTGCCCTGTGACCAGCCTTCCTCTACAGAAATGTGTGCTTTATGAGCTAGTTCAAGAGCCTTTCTTTCTTTCTTTCTTTCTTTCTTTCTTTCTTTCTTTCTTTCTTTTTTTTCTTTCTTTCTTTGGAAAGGGAGGGTGAAAGAGAAGGAGAGAAACATTGATGTGAGATAGAGACATTGACCAGTTGCCTCTCATGTGCACTCCCAACTGGGGACCAAACCCCAACCCAGACACGTGCTCTGACCGGGAATCGAACCAGTGACCTTTCAATTTGCAGGACAATGCCCAGCCAACTGAGCCACACTGACCTGGGCTCAAGAGACTTTCGTGTCCCTTGGGTACTTCTCTCGTTACCTATTCTCCTCTTCCATCTCTTCTGTATCTCCTGGGCCCTCTTGTCATCATTCCCCAACTCAGCATTCATCTCTCTCTCTCTCTCTCTCTCTCTCTCTCTCTCTCTCTCTCACACTCTCACACACACACATACCCGACCCCCCCCCCACACACACCCCTCCTCAGGTCTCATCTGTTGCCCCCTGGTCCCCTTTGTTGGCCTCTGTACCCAGCTCTCTCTCTCTCTTCCCCAGCTTCAGGGCATGGTAGAAGCCCTGCCTATGATGTAGGTTGGGGCTGGAGTCAGGAGGATGGGGCTTATCTGAGTCTATGAGCAGCCAGTGGGCTCTGTGGCCCTGAACTCCCATGGGAGGCAAACTGCAGCTTGCCCTCTTCTCTTTCCTCCTCCATACCTCTCCCATTCTTGCCCATATTCTCATTATGCCTGCCACCCCTGCCCCAGCTGCCCTCTCAGTGAGCACACTGCCAGGTTCCTTACCAGACCTGCTTCCTGAGAAATACCCAGCAGTAATGGTGTCTGACATACCCCTTCTCCCTATAACTTTCCCCTGCAGGGGCACCCAGTCCAGCCACCTCTGAGCGAGCCCCACTAGGCTTTCCCTTAGCCTCTCAGCACTTTCCTGTAAATGCACTCACAGCCAGGAGGGGTGCCATATTAAATCAAGAGTGATGGAAACCAGTGGCCGTGATTATCTAGCCAAGATGTAACATAGGGAGCTGGTTGCTGCTGGCTCCAGGTGAGGGCTTCTGAAGCTAATTGCATATGGCTTTTATTAAGAAGATGATCACTCCTCCACTTCTGCTGTCCTGGGTGGCTTCTTCCTAGTGCCTCTCAGCCCAGTACCTTCTGCTTCTGTAGGCTGGGTTACCTACTTATCTTCGGTAGTGGAACCCAGGAAAAACATGGCCTTGACTTTAGTTCCTGTAGCCTTCCTTCTCATCTCCTCAAAAAGCCAGGAATAATAGTAGCCCATCTGTGGAGTCCTTCCCAAGTGCCTTTTCCCATTCTCCTCTCTCTTCTTTCCCAAGAAGAGTATATATAGACCAAGTATTTTCCTTTCCTAGGTTCTCCGCTGGCTAGCTTTTCACAAACCTGGCCTCATAGTTCCTGCCTTAAAAAGTCATTAATTCAACACATTTTTTTTGATAGAGAGTCTGCTAGGCATTAGGAAAAGAGTATGAAGCAGTAATCTTCTACCTTGTTTAATCATAATATCCTATACATTTTTGTCCAAAATTCTAATGCATTTTTCAGAAGATTTTTCTGAGTTGATATTTAGTGCTCCAGGCTGATAAAAGAATCAGGACATGCTCAGATTTAGGCCATGGGTTAAATCTTTCCGAGGACCATCTAGAAAGCTCCTGGGAAACCAGCCAGATCACGATGTAACTTTTCCCTACCCTCACCCCCGTAGAAGTCAAGCGTCCTTTTCCCTTGCCCAAGAAAATAACAGGAATTCTAAGACACCCTAAAACTATGACACTGAAGAAGAGTTACAGGACATAGAAATGTTCCCTGGAGAAAACAAGGAGAACTGGGTGATTGTACCCAAATTAGCAAAGTGGCAAGAAAAGTCATATTAGGCTTGGCCTGTAATAAAGTAAAAAGATAGGTTCTGTTTTATGATGCCCCACAGATCAATGGGTGGAAAGTACCTAAAGGCAGAATTCTGTACCACATAAGGACATACAGTAGAGGTGTCCTCAGAACCCTGTTGGTGTTGGGACTGTACCCTGCTGGGTTCCTAGGGGGAAGAGTCAGGAGCCACTTCTGGGGCAGTGGGGACATTCAAGTGGACTTGGGTCCTGGCTTCTGCTTGAGCCAGAGCACCTCTTTATGTGTGGAGCTTCATGCAGATTAAATTCGTTTAAAGGGCTCTAGTACCTCCCCTTGCCCAAGAAAAGGCACTGCGTTACATAATCAGTTATCAAAATATAGCAAAGGACAAGTAACATTTATCAAAGACCTCCCAAGGGCCAGGTGCTATGCTCTCTATTTGAGTCTCTCATGTACCACTCCTACATACACATTCACTGGGCGTGAGAGACTCTGCCAAGTGCTTTGTATACATTATCTCATTTAATCCCCACCAGCATCCCACAAGAATCCTGCAAGGTAGATATCAGTACCGTCCTCATGTTAGAGATGAGGAAACTGAAATTCAAGGAGGTGAATTAAATTCCCCAGGGTCAGCTAGCTAATAGGTAGATGAGGTAAGGTTTGAATTCAGTTCTGTTGGAGCAAAGGTTATTCTTTTTGTCATGCGCCTTGTCCCAAACTTCAGGAGCCACACTTCACATGGGAACAATTGTAAGAATTAAATACGATGCTATGTATAAAATGCTGAGTACAGTGCCTGGAGCACAGCCCCTAGTCCACAACTAGTAGTTGCTTCATTCAGTTGGCTACATGTATTGACTCCTTCCATGAGCCAGGCCCTGTGCTAGGTGCTGGAGCTATAGAGATGGATAAAACATATAGCCTTTGTCACTAAGGACCTTATGAACTAGTAAGGAGAGATAAACAGGCAGTTAAATAAGAGTTCCGCGGGTCCTGGAGCAGACACAAAGCCTTATAGCAGGCTTCTTAGACAATACAGTGTTGAAGCTGAGATCAGCAAGGCATTAAGAGGTGGGTGGGAATGGAGGAGACTTTTGCGGTGAGGGAGCAGTGTGAGCAAAAGACCTAGAAACGGGAATACCCATCACTGAGGGGAAGTGAGGAAGCAGGCACAGCAAACCATTGCAGGCCAGCTTCCATCGCTTCGAGCTCCTCTGTGGTCCACCTGACTGCAAGCCGGCCAGGCCACTAGCCAAGGCCGTACCAGCCGGTCTGTGTGCATCTCACCATCAGAGCCTTCCAGCCGAGTGGACCTGAGTGCTGAGAGGGGCTGGGTGGGCAGGGAAGAGGAGGAGGCAGATATATGACTGGAGTCGTCAGAGCCAGGTGATGTATGTGGCGCCTGAGGGAGCTGCACAGTGACACTCTGGATTCCAGCCGGCAAGCGTTGCTCCGCTGGGATTGGCGCCGAATTATTGCTCCATATGAAACCCCAGGACTGATGGGAGCTTTCAGTTACAGACTGATAGCAACAACCAAAATTGGATTGTTTGCTATTTATTTTTTTTAACTTCTGTCAAGGTCACTACTGTAACAGGAAAACACTGCCCAACCAGCAGGTATTTTTCATCCACTCTGCCCACAAGAGCAATCTGCAGCCACAACTTTTGTGACAGGGCCTTACCTTGGCAGCTTGCTTTCTAGAAATCTGTCAGCACTATAGGGGTCTAAGGGGAAAGGAGCCTCCTGAATTCCCTACTCCACACCTGCTCTCCTCCCCTGTCTCCTGGCTTCTGTTAAGTGCTTTCTCACTGGGCCCACGCAATCACCCCTCCCACCTGGTCTACACAGTCTCACAACTTCCACCTGGCCCAGTACTCCAGCTTCTTTAAGCATCCCATCTCCCAGAAAGCACCCCTAACACGTTCCACACTTTATGTATCCTTTCCTTCTCTGTACTCCTACACCATCCAGTCTATCTGTTAATTCCTTTTTATATCTGTCATCAAATTCATTTTTGCAGACATTTTCACCAGATGCCTCTATTTGTGCTAGGAATAGCAGTTAGTAAAAAACAGTGCCTGCCCTCAAAGAGCTCATCGTTGATAATAGCGTACATATTCATAAACATGCAACAAAATTGTTTCCAAGTAGATCAGGGGCGTTTTTTGGGGGTGGTGGTGGTAGTGATAGGTACAGGGTAGAAATGGGCATGCATGTTCTGGAACTGTGAGGAAAATGGTTGATTCTGCCTGAAAAATATTTGTGCACAGACCCTGCCTCACATCCCCTGCCTGACTTTGAGCTCCCTAATGGCAAGGCCTGGCCATCCTCCTTCCTCACAGTGTGACCAGGCTCAGGAGTGCCTGCCTTTACTGAAGCGGGGCCGGCACAGGCTGGGCACTCAGCATCACCAGAACCTCCCAGGAAGCAGACCGCAGTTCTCTTCACTTTCCCCGCCCCACCTTCCCATCCCTCCCAGTGCGCACAGGGCTCAGCACATAGCGATTGCTGAACAGTTGTGTCTAATTGAAATGCAGCGTCATTGAAATGGAGCATGTTCATAGCCCTGGGTTGAAAGCCAAAAAGATTTTCAAGAGAATAAATGGAAAGGAAAAGGAACCTATATTTGTAAAGCACTTCTGCGTGCTAGCCATGATGCTGGGCACATTTTATACATCATCATATTTAATCCCTGATTAATAGATAAAACTGAGGTGAAGCAACTTGCTCCAGGTAGTAAGCACATTTTGTAAGTGATATAACTGGGATTCAAACCCAGGTCTTCTGTCAGACTTTAGAGTCAAAGGTTAATTAAGCAGTAGTACTTATTTTACTAGTAGGATGAGCCAGGACCCTGGACAGTGGCCACCAGAGGTAAGGAGATAGGGTGTCAGGTGGAATGAGGGGACAGAGGAAGGACTGCGCCTGCAGCGGTCATGAGCCAGAGCTGTGCATCTAGATTCCTGGAGGGCCAGGTCTCTGTTTTATCCCCTGGATCGGGGATGGAATAGAACTAGGAGTCTTTTGGGGCCAGCACTCCTGAGCCTCCTTCACTCTCTCCCCGCAGTATCAGGAGAAGCAGCGGAAGCGTGAAGCTGAGGAGCGGCGCCGATTTCCACTGGAGCAGCGGCTGAAGGAGCACATCATTGGCCAGGAGAGTGCCATCGCCACAGTGGGTGCAGGTGAGTGTGTGAGGTGCTAGCCAGCACCAGAAGGTCAGGGGAGCTCATGGTCTGCTGCAGTGAAGTGTACATCCTACTGTCACCGCACTGTGGGGCGGTGGCTAATAGTATTACAGCTTAACATCTGTTGAGTACTTTCTATTAGGCATTAAGACAAAGCTCTTTGCATATGCTCTGTCGTTTAATCTTTATAGCAACCCTTTGAGTTTGGTACTATTAAATCCCCATTTTACAGATGAGGAAGCTGAGACACAGAGCACTTAAATAGTTTCTGAAGGCTGCTTTTCCTATATTTACAATTTAATTCTTACCTTTACCTGGTCCACTGTTTTCCACGTCCCTACTTTTCAGGTGGGGAAACCAAGACCCAGAGAGAAACAGGAGCATATCCATAACAGGTAATGCAGGAGCTAAGCCAGAACTAGAATTTCTTCTGCCGCTGGCTCAGTTTTAGAGAAAACGTCCTGAACAAGTTTTGAGTGCCTTTTCCTCCACCCTAGAAGTTCTTATGTCCCATACTTTGACCCCTGGGAGCCATACTGCCCACTGGTGTATCCAGGAACCTAATGCCTCTCCTGCCCATGCCAACCTCAATGACCCAGGTACATGGCTCCCTTGGGGTGACCTCAGGCAGACACAGCAAAGGCAGAGGAATCCTGTGGTTCTCAAAGCATGGTCTCTGGATCAGTATCATCAACGTCCTCTGGGACCTTGTTAGAAATGCAGATCGCAGGCCTCACCCGAGACTTCTGGAATCAGAAACTGAGGATGGAGCCCAGCGACCGATGTTTTAACAGGCCCTGCAGGTGATTTGGATGCTCAGCTGAAGTTTAAAAACCTCTGTTCTATCTCAGTCAATCCCACTCATGTGTTGCTTGCCTCTTCTCTCCAAGCATTTGGTCACACCAGATGCAGTTCAGCAATGGCCAAGGACGACACCAGGTTCTGCTCACTGATAGAGGAGATACCGGGCTGAAATTGTGGTGCCCCTCTGGGATATCCTGGGGTGGATTTTTCAGCCCTAGGAAACCAATTAGAGGAATAATGGAAAAATGAAAGTGGTTGTCCCTGTGATACACCAAACCCAGCCTGATCTTCATCATCCTCACATATACCATTGGGACTCATGTGACAGCTGTGAGCCCTTCATCAAGGGCCTGACCCCGTCAACAAATAAAAGTAGCCTAATGACCAGAGCTGTCTCACCAGCAAGAGGTCAGCCGGCTACCTCCTGGCACAGTATTTTTTAATATATAAGGTCCAACTACTTAGGCCCAAACCGCACCAAGCTGCCCTTTTGGGTCTAGATATAGACACCCACCCTCAGCCACCACCTTGAAGGTGGAAACCTCCCACTTATTTGCCAACATCATGTATTAAGTGGAGGGAGGGGAGACCCCGGGAGCTCTTGGGGGTTGGAGAGAGGAGTAGCCTATGCAAGATACAGATTACCTGGGCAGAGACCTGAGACAGCAAGCATCTCCTCCTGGAGTCTCCTGTCCATTTTGGGCCAGGACTGCATCTGCCATCATAGTGTTTTTCCTCTGCTTCTTACATGACCCTTTCCCAGCAGGCTGCCTGCTCCTCTGACCTCCTGCTTCTCGCCAGCTTCTCAAGCCCATAAGATACGTAGCTCTCAGAACTAGGAGCTGTGGGGGCAGGGGGAAAGGGGGTAGGACAGACATTGAGATGGAGAGAATTTGACCAACCTGGGCTTAAGTAGCAGGTCAGCACTTACTAGCTGTGCCATTCAGGCTGTTCACTTACCTTCTTTGAGCATCAGGTTCCTCCCCTGTGTACTGGGGAGCCAGATACAGGCTGCCTGACTGTAGAGCACATGACCTTTCCAGTGTGTGCCAGACAGCTCTGAATAAAACCTAGCCCCTGTCCTTAAGATGTTTACCGTCTAGGTTTGGCCACTGTGCTCTTTAGGTTAGGCCCACAGCAATTTCTTTCAAGTTGGGACTGATCCTTAGTCCTCACCCCAGGCTGGCCTCTGTCCCTAGTCCTACAGACCTCCACTGCCCCAGCCATCTGTCTCCCCTGGCATGGACCCAAGCAGGAGTAGATGATTCAGCTCCCCACCTCCCAAGGGCTGAATGTCTACCCTGAGTGTTTCTGTACAAAGCTCCATTCTGTCACCCAAACTGCCTCAGATCAAGAAGGTCCTACTCTTCGACCTGCGGTGTGTAGGTTGACCCTGCCATGGCTCCAGTGACCCAGAAAAGACAGAGGCTTTTGAAATCTGGGGTGTGTGTGTGGTTGGTACATAATCGCCTTCCTTTATAAGGCAATAACCATGTGCGCACCTTGCTAGGAGCCCTGCAGCTGGGGATCACACTGGTAATGGTTAGATAATGTTCAGCTACCCACCCAGGTGAAGCCTGAGGCACTCTGTGGGTCAGCAGCCTTCCTGGGTTCTCTGAGCTAGAGTCAGATGTGGGCTAGGGACTGGCTGGGTGGTCTCTGCCACCCCAGGGGTACCATGATGATGGGCAGCCAGAGAAGTGCCGCAGAATGAATTGATTTGATAAATGGCCATTTATTACCCTTTCGAATTGGCTGAAACCAATTTCGGTCACATCAAACCCTGGTAAGTGCTGGGATATTGATTTGTGCAAAGTAATACAGTGAATTTATCAGCGTGATCCCCAGCTGCAGGGCTTCTAGCAAGCCTGGTACACAGTTACCACCTTACAAATGGAGGAGATAACGCACCAGCCCCACATCCCTGGCCCCGGTGTCCTCTCTGGTCTTCAAGAGTCACCGGAGTCAAAGCAGGGCCAACCTACATACCATGAGCCAGAGCCTTGGCACTGAAAGCCAAGTTTCCTTCCAGAACCCAGAGCTGTTCTTCATCATGGGGTGAAGGTGGACGCCTACCCTGTGGGGCAGACCTCGGGGCAGTTCAGAGCCTCTGTTTCCCACCGTCCTCCTCAGAAGGGCAGCCAGCTGTCTGTTCAGCACATTCAGAGCTAGGCTCCGCACCCCCATCCCCAACCTGTCTACCTCCTGTGTTCCTGTCTCAGTAAAAGTACCACCATTCCTGCTCTCCTAAATAGAAAGTGAGATGCTTCCTCCCTCCTCCCCCTTTAAAGCCCCTTAGCAAGTTCTATCCTGTTATGTCTTAAATGTGTCTTAAACCTGGCCTTTCCCCTGTGTTTTTAATACCACTGCTCCAGCTCAGGCCCTTTGAAGCACACGGTAGCCTCCTAACTGGTCTCTCTACCTCCTTTCCTTCCAGTATAATCACCTCTGTCCAGCTGGAGTGAGCTTTGTAAAAACTCCCCTGTTTAAAATTCTTGAGTGGCCCTTGCTGCCGAGGCCCAGCATATAAGGCCCACCCTTGCTGCTTCCCCTGCACTTTGCACTGCGTCCACTGGTGATGCCACCAGCCACACCAGCTGCTTCTACTTCCCTGCACATGCTGGGTTGACCTCCTGCCTTTATTTGTTGATACTGCCCTCTGTTTGGAATTCCTATTATTCTGGCCCTTTCCCCACCCCAGCCCTTGCCTGTCTCCCATACTCTGGCTGGCTTTTACTTAGCCTGACTCAGTTCAGGAACAATAATAGACTATAGACTTCTGAAGACAGAGACCATGACTGAATTGTTTCTGTTTTCCCAATTCCTGGCATAGCACTCTGCTCAAAGTAGATGCTTAGTGCAGTTTGTTGAATTAATTAATTGGATATGGCCCCTTGTCCATCTCTGTGATGTGCTCTGAGAAAAGAGAAGCTATAAGCCTGCTTTCTAGTAGTTCACAAGCATACTGGGAATGCGACTGTAGGCAAACAGTTCATTATAACACCCATATCCCTTGGTGGACAGGATGTTCCCCAGACATGCTCTGAGTAACCTCCTCTGAGCAGAAGGTCAGCGAAACACCCGGAAGCTTCCCTGTGGCTTCCTCTGATGGGGGGCCTGTCCCCAACAACCGCTGTACCTGGTCCCAGTTGACTTTGAAGCCCTTGAACTTTGTCGGGGAAGCTCTACCACCCCAACAGCTCTTCCTTGCGGGGGCCAGGCCCGAACTTAGACTCTCAGCATCAGCTATGTGCCACACAGTGGGCACATACCCTTCTATCTCATGCTTCACTTCCCTCTTTGACTAATCCAACACTGTCATCTTCCCAAGCCCCGCATCTTCCTGGACCTCCCTTGGAGTCCTGTTTCTGATATGAGAAATACATCCAAGTCATTCCTGAGTTGTGGAGTGACAGTGATTAACATAGAGAAGTGCTTGTGTTTCCGCCTGCACACCCCACCGCTTCACGTGTGTCTCCTTTGCCCCTGCTGTTCTCATTGCCTGGACGGCCCTGCCCTTCCCCTGGCCTGCCAAGACACTCAAGACCCAAGGCTTCCTGTGGACACCTTTCATCACTGCACTTACCACAGGGCATCAGTTTGTATGTCTTTCTCCCTCCAAAGGTCAGCAGCTACTACCTCTCATTCAGCTGTTTCCCCAAGATTGGGCACACAGATGTGTAAAATACTGTTGAACGTTAGTGAAGGAAGTTTAGTCCATTTAATACTCTGCTTCTCCTCAACACAGATTCTCGCCTCCACCGCTTTCTGGAACAGCGTCGCTCTTCCCTGCAGTAGTGCCTACCTGCAGTGCACACGGGCACACACGCACATACCCACAAAACGGGTGGTTTCAGCAAAAAGCTTTCCTTGCATTTTTAACATATTGACTACTCAGTAAGTAGCAATAGTCTGCCTTCAGAAAGATAAGTCCTTAAAGACTAACTGTTCTCTCCTTGCCCTCCACACTCGAGGCTCCTGTATCCACTCAGTCCACAGGCATTTCATGAGCACTTGCTGTGCTCCTTGAATATACAAGCTGTAGACAGGAAATTGCTAATGGACATTCAGGTGACTCTCAACCAGGAGAGTCCCTCTGCAGGACTGGATCCCCTGGGAGATGCCACAAGCATGGGACACCAGTTTAGTTTTAAAAAACCTCCCACATTAGATCCGTAGAACATACCAGGAAGGAGTCAGCCCAGCCAGACTGTCGCAGAGCCTTGAGCTGACGGAGGCACTGGGGTAGAAGGAGGAAGCAGCTCTTTTCCCCTCGCTCTGATTTTGTACGTGCTGGGTCTTCCTTTCGGGGATGACTGCCTGGCTCTCTCCCACTCACTGTTCAGACACAGGCGGCAGTCAGGCACAAATGGCTCTTCCCACACTTCTCCCAGTGCTTCCATCCTATTTGCAGCCCACAGTTTTCATAGCCACATTCTTTTAAAAGATACAGACCTTATTTTAAGCATTTTTTGGAGGTGCCCCAGCACCCAACACAGAGCTTATTTGCTGAACAAACGGATAAGCTCCCTGGAGAAGATTTAAAAAGAGAAGAGAAACTTTTTCACACTAGGGTAGTAGTAACCATTTGGAGCCATAAAAGACTCTTAGGTTCAGGCCTCACTTTTCTCTGTAAAATGGGAGGTATCTGTTCTTTCCTTCTCGTGATTCCAGAAAGACTGAGAATTAATTCATTTAGTCAGCAAGCATTATACGGCTCTTAGGCTATTCCCACAGGCCCCTCTGAAACTAGAACTCCTGGCACCTGCTCCCACAGAATGCACAGTGAGATTGGAGCACACCCTCCCCCGGACACAAAGGCCCAGGCGGATGAAACCGCTTATACTGCCCCTCTCTGAACCTCATTCTCCTCTTCTGTAAAATGGAGATAACACCGGCTTCTCAGGATCATTAAGGAGGAAAGAGATATTCTGTAAAATACCAAATGACTGCTGCTGCTGTGACTACCATTATTTTTATTCTTATTCTTATTTCACTTCTTGCAACTTACAGAATGCTTTCATAACCATTAACTCCTTTAATCTTGTGCAGGGCTGACTTAGCCTGTATTGTATTCCTATTTTATAGATGAAGAAACCAGGGCTCAAAAGAAATAAAAGTCAATCAGTTAGTAAGTGGCAGGGGCAAGGCTCCAAAGTAGATCCTGTAACTCCTACTTTCTGCACCTCACCACCCCAGAGGTGAACACAGACCAGAGAAAACAGACCCTGGGAATAATGGGGTAAATGTTGGTTGCTGAAGTTCATCAAAAAGGGTTGCTGCGGGTCCTGACCAGTGTGTCCCCGTTGGTTGAGCGTCGTTCTGCAAAGCAAAAAGTCCCCAGTTCAATTCCTGGTCAGGGCACATGCCTGGGTTGCTGGCCTGGTCCCCAGTTAGTGAGCATGTTTCTCTCACACATCAATGTTTCTGTCCCTCTCTTTATTCCTCCCTTCCCCTCTCTCTAAAAATAAATAAAATCTCAAAAAAAAAATAGTTGTTGCAGGTAAGTTTTAAGATAGTCCAGTAGTGGTAGACATGGCCAGGTGCTCTGGTAAGGGAGGGACCCAGCAAGGAGGCACTGGCACTGGCCCCGCATGTGGAGAAACAGGCAAGCCTGCTTGGAACTTGCAGGGATGAGAACAGCCAATGAAGTAGACACTGGCATCACCTCGAGCCCAAGAGCATAGTTCAGGGGACAGGGGCTCTCAAGACCCTGTTTTTGAATGGCTGCTTGAGCCAGACGGTTTTCAAGGTGAGGCAAGGGTATGAGGAGATGCTGGGACAAGCAGACTTCCTTTCCCTCCGCTCCTCAAAAGCCAGCCATAGCTGGGGTATAAAGCCCAGGGTCTTTATTTATTTACCTGTGTTACCTTGAGCCAGTTACCTAACTTCTTTGTACATGCTGCATCATCTATAGAGCAGGAATCAAGTTCCCTGCCCTGCCTGCCTCATAGATTTCTAAGGAGGTACAAATGAAGTTATGTCTACATAAGTTCTTCAGAGATCATGAAGTGTTAGCAGAATAAGATGCTTCCTTTGCTGGTTCACAGTGAGGGCACCAGTACCTGTGGCCACATCCCATGTGGGCCTCTTTAGGTTTCTGTCTGTCCAAGACCCTGCCCTGGCCTGACAGGACCCTCCAGGTCCCCAGCCTTGGTCCTCAGCCACCCTGCCAACCACACCCCCGGCGCCCACCTTCCCCAGTCCCTCCTAGCTGCTTCCATTTTTCATTCTGTCGGACACCATCTGCTTGGCCGTTTTTCTCTTCAGATATTATTAGAAATATCCAGAGTTGTAATTGTTTAATGGTTGGCATTTCGCCTGTTTCACGGGGGGCCCAGATCAAGCCCACCCCAGACTCATGCCCTGGGTCTGGCAGAATTGACCAGGGACAGCTGTGCAGTGGAGTCTGCCTGGAATTATAAAGAGCTTTCTCCCAGGTGCATTATTAGAAAATAAGGAGAAAAAGATGGCCCCAGGCATAATCCAATTCCACATTCTCCATGGTGTGTTTGAACTGCATCGCCCAGCAGTATGCAGCTCTCGGTGGGCTGGATAGCTTCCCTGTAAGAGAAGTCTAGATCAGCACCTCAGGTATATGACACCTGGGGAGCCCTGTCCCTTATCCCCAACTCAGGCCACTTACCTAAATGATACCATGGCATTTCTCCCTTTCCAGATACCCCATGAAGCCTGAACCCAGTTTATGCTCAGCTTCTTTCAACCTAGACTCTCAATTCAGCCAACTTAAGGAAGAATTTGACTCCTTTCAGAATATCACTCTCAACAGGCATCTATACATAGTATTCGTAAAAGTCTAGCCTCTGCCATTATACTATCTCTACCTCCCCAAATACCCGAGCCCTGGGTTCTTGTTTCTCTCAGGACGCCGCAGACTCCCTCTCAGCCAGGCTTGGCCTTGTTCCTGTCATCCACAGCCCTTAGGTACTTATGAGGCCCCTGGGTTCCCTGTAGAGCCAGGCCTTACAGAGGACCAGGCCAGTTAGTGTGGAGATGCCTTGGACCTAGCGCAGGGGGAAGGCTGGACTGCATGTTCTCAGGCCCCTCTCAGGATTTTCAGGGAGTGTCTCCCAGGCAGGCAGAGTGACTGCGAGGTCATGGTGTCCATGAGGTTGCAGTTTCCATCTGTTTCTGCTGAGGCCAGGACTGGAAAGTACTTAAATTAGCAGAATTAGAGATTACAGTGAGAAAGACCACAACATGGACCTGAACTCCTAGTATTTGAGGCCTTTGTAATCTGATCCTACCCACCACTGCTCATGGTCATTCCTGTTTCTCCAAATCTGTTACACTGGCCACCTTTGCCTCTCCGGATCCTACCCAGCCTCCGTTATACATCAGTCCTGCCTCCAAAAACGCACGCCTTTGCCTCTGTAGCCTCTTCTTCTTTTTTTTTTTTTTTTTTAATAATTTTTAAAAATTTTTACTTACTGATTTTTGAGATAGAAACATTGGTTTGTTGTTTCACTTATTTATGTATTCATTGGTTGATTCTTGTATGTGTTTTGACCAAGGATCAAACCTACAACCCTGGCACCTTGGTACGATGCTCCAACCAGCTGAGCTACCCAGCCAGGGTGCAGCCTGATCTTTGGATCCCAGCCACATGGATCGTACCACACAGCATAGTATTTAGGAACTTTCTACCTGCAGAGTGGCAGACACATCCCTAAGACCATCAAATCTTTCTCAGTTGACTTGATTTCCAGGCCTTGTCCTCTGACATATATCCCTTTGCTAATCTTCCCCTGTCTGGGGACCAGACCATACATGCTGTTTCAACTGCAAACTGACCTTGACATTGCACAGCACTCTGTCCCCTCCCGCTTCTGACTGCCGTGTAACCATTAATGCAACCCAAAGTGATACTCACTTTTTTAAGCAGCCATATGTGACACAAAGGCCAGTTTAGAGAGAGAAGCAATTCTACCATCTCTACCAGTGAACTAGTAATCTAGTTGTGTGATTTACATATGTCTCATCTCTTGCCTCAGTTTCCTGTTCAGAATAATGAAGCTGAGATTTCCCTTTTGAGATGTATGTGCAGGTCCTAAGTAATAAAATGTTGGTGATTTTTCCAACTGTGCCTAGGAGATAGCATGCAATAAATGGTTCATTTTCTGATGGTTCTGCCTCATTCTGTTCCTGCTCTTATACTTGAATGATGCTTCTGAGTCTTATTCTCCCACTCTGTACTTGGGTATGTAATTTCCTTACCTTAAAAGCACAGCCCTTGCTCATACACTTCCTCCTGAAGAGGAAAGGTCAGGTCTCATTCTAGCAGAGCTGCGCCCCTAAGGAACCTGGTACAGATCTATCCCATTCCCCCCACATACCCAGTGGCCATGGTTATTGGAGAGGCTAACCAAATGGCTCACTCTTCTGTGCCCTGAGCTCCATGCTACCTTTGACTGGCTTCCATAAAGTGTGCTTGACTGTATTTCCAGACCAGACCTTGGTTTCCCCAAATCTTAAAGAGTCTAGAGCTCACACTCCATATTCCCAGGGGCCTGCTGTGGGCTTCTCCCTCTCCCATTGGCATGGGAGGCAGGCTGAGTATCCCACCAGGGGTAAGTAGATGGGTAACCAGCCAAGAGCTAAAGTTCCTCTCGAATTCTCCTTCACCAACCCCCCACTGCCTTCACCTCCATTCACCATCCACCCGCCTTTCAGTTTCCCTGGCAACGCTGAGTGCTCATCCTGGAAAACTTTATCCGAAATCTGCTCTGGGCAGCTTTCCAAATCCATGCTAACCTGATTAGGTATCTCTAGGGGCCTTGCCAGCTAATCAGATTAGGCAGCACTAATGGTAGTGAGGACTTTGAGTGGGCGCAGAGCAGTAAAACATATTGTATACTTAGTGATAATTATCCTGCCTTTTGTGTCATTGATTTATCTGCCTCCCTCCCCGTCCCCTGTCTTGTGTGTTGGTTGTAGCAATCCGGAGGAAGGAGAATGGCTGGTATGACGAAGAACACCCTCTGGTCTTCCTCTTCCTAGGATCATCTGGAATAGGTAATGGGAGCAGATCAGTCAGTGGGGAAGAAGAGCTGGGGGCGCCCCAGCTGCTGTGGGCCGTGGTCAGGCTACCCACCTCTGGTTCAGCTCCAGCTCCTAGTACAACTGCCTCCACATTGTGGAGCCAGCAAAAGGATCATCTGACACGTTAGGAATAGCTGGAAGGATACCCCTCCCTCTGGAAGCGGGGGTGCAGGGCCTAATTCACCTGGAGGATGAGCCCTTCGGGGCCTAGTAGCCCTGTGCAGCCACTCTGCATCCCCTGAGGCTGCCCTGTGCGTGCAATTAAATCAGCTCCACTGCCCAACACAGCAGCCTTATTCAGTACAATCTGAGACGTAACCTGCGAGGAAGCTCAGGAAGGTCCCTGATGGCAAGTACAGTGCTAGGTGCATAGCAAATTGGTTACAGTAAAATGGGTTGGGTGTCTTTCTAGCCAGTTGGACTGAGGCACTCTCATCCCCTCAGGCTCCCTCAGCTCCACCACCTCCTGCCATTGTCCTGATGGGGAATTTCATGCATTTTGTTGCCTCCTCTTCCCCTTTAGCACTTTTATGGGCTTACCTCTCCTTCAGGTATGGGGTCCAAAAAAGTTTCCACCACCTCAACATGAGACTATAGAATTTGACATCCTATACTACATAGTGACTTGCAAAGGCTTCTTACCAAATGGCCCTTCAGAGCCGCCACTTTGGTATTGACATTTCCTCTTTATATTACCAAGAAAGTCCATGAAGCCTAGAAGAGGTACCTCCCTGACTAATTGGTCTGCGGCTCCAGGCCTGGCTGGATGGCAAGATCACAGGTATCTGGAGGCATGCAGCACAGTGAGCCACGGGGCCGGGGTGCTCCTGGAGAGGCAAGGTTTGTGCTGAGCTTCAAAGGACAAGTTGGCTCTAGATTTTGAGTTAACCTCCACTCTTGGGATGCTGCTACAGAGAAAAAGCCTCAATCCCCATGCAATTCAGACTTTGATTCTGGTCCCAGCTTCACCCTTAATTCGCTTAGTGACTTTGGAAGAGTCGCTGACCCTCTCCAGGACTCAGCATTTCCATCCACAAAACATTATTTTCACTGTCCATGCATTTCTAATATTCTTTCATTCCAGGAGATAGTTATCTGCCTAACCCAATTCCTCTCCCTTTTTTCTTACTAGGAAAAACAGAGCTGGCCAAGCAGACAGCCAAATATATGCACAAAGATGCCAAAAAGGTAAGGGCTGGGACCTAGGCCTGACCTTCGGGCCATTGAGACCTCGACACTCCTGCTAGACCAAAAACTGCTAGGCTTCCTGAATCTGGCGATAGCCAATCAAAAAGATAAGCCCTGGCCCATGAAGCGGGCTTCAGCTGTGGCCCCAGTTTGGCCACCACTTGCCCCAGGAATTTGGACAAGTTAGCCAACTTCTGTGTACCTCAGTTTCTTCTTCTAAGAAATAGGAAGAATGCACCTTTCCCTGCCCTGACTCTTGGGGCACTTGGGAGAATCTAGTAAGATTCATCCATATGATATTTTCAGGCATCTACTCTGTGCCTGGTATTATACTAGTTCCTAAAAAATGTTTATTCAGACATCCTCCTTGCCCTGAGACACTGAGTCTGGAGAAGGAAACAGCTTTAAAAATATGCCACTACTGCACACCAAGGACGTGCCAGAGGGGGTCTTGGGGCCTGTAGGAGAAAACAAGTAGGAACAAGAGGATGTCTTATTACTTCTTTCCATCCCACACGAGCTTTTAAACAGCATTTCTTATGTCTAAGCTGTGGGGTGGTCACAGGCCACTTTTCCCCAGACTCAGAGCTTTGGATTCTCCATAGGAGAGGACCGCCCCGTCTCCTATTTGTTCAGACTCTGGCTTTCCAAGGCCTGCTCAGTTTGACTTTCTAGGCTGACAGGCAGTGCTTTCATGCAGAGAGAAATGTCAGAGAGAGCACTCCTTGGAGACTGCAGAAACATTTTATTGAAGGCCAAACATTCTTTCTACCAGCTTTCTCAATATGGAGGCTGAGGTCCCCCTGCGCAACCACCGGAGGTTGCCTATGACCCCAGGTGCCCTTGCCTCATTTCTGTGGAAAGCCTCCCCATATGAGCTGACAAGAATTGCTCAGGCCTCACCAGCCACACTACCCCAGCAGCAGATGCCTGAGCGCCTCCTGTCCTGCTTCCAGCCTAGCCACCCCATCTCCACCTTCTTGAAGGCCTGGCAGCCACAGAAACAAGGTAGCTCAAGCTATATCCTCCTGAGCTGCATCTATGGCTTTCTCTGCCTAATAAGTAGCTGAAGCTTTCTAAGCCTCCCTGGCTGTACCAGTAGCTATGTTTTACCTCAACCAAACCCAGAGCAGACCCACTTGATAGGCAGGCAAGAAGCAGCACATGACGTGCTAATATGCTCCAACTGAAACAGCATTTTTAGGACAATTCATCAGGTTGGCAGCGATTGAAACAATTAGCACTCTGGAAAGAGCCATAAACTAGCAAGACTATTAGGAAAGATGCAGTTACAGGCAGGAACCACCTGATTAGGGATGAAGAATTCTGAGTGTTTTAATTTTAATATTGTCAGGAAGGTTAATATTTAATTACAAATTATAATCTCCTTATCCAAGCTCTCTCAATGTCTTCTTACGACTTGTACCCAGTGGGAGTAGAAGGAAAGTATCTGCTGACTTGCTGGTATAGAAAGGAGAAGGAGCTTGTGAAAAGACTGATGATACAGCCTTTTTTCAGTTGGAACATCAATTAGTTGGTGGCACATTTACACCAATGCAGGGTGTTCTGATGGCATCTTTCAATACATGCCTCACCCAGGAGAAGGAAGTAATGCCATCATTGGAGGCAGTGGGCCAGGCGGTCTAGGCTCAAGCCAGTCATCCCTTGACACAGGTTCCAGTTCTGCTTTCTGCTGGCCCTGCACAGGTTACTTTACCCCTCTACGTGTCGACTCTCTTGTCACAAAGTGAGGCTATCCAATGCTCTGTCTGTGGTTGTTACGAGCATCAAATGAGCTCAGGCTCTAGAACACAGTAAGTGCCTGTTCTCTTGCCTCGTATTTGTTTGTCACCTCGTACTTTCCACAGCAGTACCCCATTAACTATTTCATTTCATTCTCTGAGGAAAATAGCATAGATAGTAAATTAGATCTACTTTTCAGATGAGAAAACTGACCCTACAGCATTAAGGGGTCTGCCCAATGTCAGCTGTTAAAGGAAAAAGTAAAATCAGAATCTAGTCTTTCACAAGTATAAGTCTCTTGTGAGAATACTCTTCTCACAAGTATTATTGTTCTCAGATACAATAGACTAGATTATAAACTTGTCGGTTTGTTCCCATGTCACATGGGGAGATGAAAGACATGAGAAGCCCTATAGAACCATTCATGTATTTTATTTTTAAGTCATAGGTAGTGTTTCTACAGAACTCCTGATTACTGAATCTGCTTTAACACAGACATTTTCTGGCCATGTAACAGGCATGTTTGAGGCCTTCAAAATCCAAGGGTCCTGGACTGTAAGCTATCTAACACCACCAGGGCCCAAGGAATGATGTGTGAGAAGTGTCATGTACGGGGCCCGGTGTTAAATTGGCCTGTGTAAAGAGTGAGCACTGGCTTGGGGGTCAGTGACTTGAATTTGAGTTCCGGCTCTCTGATCTTGAGTTGCCTCACCTGTAAACAGCTCAGTGCTATCCCCAGACTTGACTGCCTCACAAGGCATTGTTTGCACATTTCTATAATCTCTTTATCAGATCTATCAGCTTATTTTTTTTCTCTCATAAGCCTCTGTTTTCCTCTCAAATTGAACAGCTTTATTAGCATCCATTATTAGAGTTAATAATCCTTGAGAAAGAACCTTAATGTTATTCTGTGTCTGATCCTGAAATAGGGTGGTGGACCTATAAAGACTTGGTCATAAGGTAGTATGACAAAGGACTCAGAGCAAGGATCCCAAATCTAAACTACTCAGTGGAGTTGGCTGGGGTCTCTGTTTGCATCAGTTTTCTCATCTGTAAAATGAGTTCAATAATGGTGCCTATCTCATTGGATTATTGTGAAGATTAACAAGATAATGATATAAAATGCTAAACACCATTCTTGGTACATAGTAAGCAATCAGTACATATTGAGAATTATTGTCATTATCATTGCCTCACTTTGAGATAACTCTAAGCTAAGATCATATGAAACCAAAATTATTCCAGTAAAGAAAATCAAACCCTGAGACTTGTTTAAATTTACTTAACAATCTAGCAAAGCAGCTAAGGCAAGAACCCAGATTACTTGACATAAGCAAGGCCTAGTCTCCACTGCCTATATCCTGGGACATTGACATCTGGGCACAAAACTCAGAGCCCTTCAGATGAAGCCTGCCAAGAGCCCAACTGACTGACAGAGGAGGAAATGTGAGGCAGTCAAGTAAATGGCTCAGAGCATAGACTTGGAGCCAGACTGTTAAGATTGAGTGGCCTTGGGCAAGTTACTTTAATCCGTGACTCAGTTTTCTCATCTGTAAAGTGGGGATGCGATTAGTGCCTACCTCATAGACTTGTACATGTTCTGAGCCCTTTATAGCTTGCTTAGACATTGTCAGGCACATGGTAAGTACCCAGTGACTGTCAACTATTATCAGATATCTATCTTGTGGCTTCCGGCCCATTGCTCCCTCTGGGCAGCACTCCGAGCTTCTCCACATCCATCCTCCCACCCTTCCGAAGCCTGTGTTTCTCTTGGCGGAGCTGCCTTTGGCTAACCAAAATGCTTGCTGGCTAATGCCACATGTGCTCAGATAGCAGGGATCTCCCCCACGTGACCTTAATAACTCTCCCAAGCCCTTTCCCACCTCTGGTTAGGGCCTCTTCTCAGGTCCCTGGAGAGAGTAGGAGAGGAAATAAGGGCCTGTGTTACACAGGAAAAACTACAGCTCGGAAAGGGGAGGCAGCAAGCACAAGGACACGCAGATAGTGACCGACCAACTGGAAGCCGGGGCCCCTGGCTGCCAGCCTGGGTTCTGCCACTCTGTGCCTTGGGTGCAGAGTGACAGGACAGAGAAAAAAAAAAACTAGAAGTACGTCACTGAGTGAATTTCAGACCAGAGGCTGAGCTAGAATAGGCCTGTATTTCAGATACACCTCCCTCTCCGGGTCTTGGCACCATGTTATCCCCAGCTCTAACGAATCTCTGACGAGACATACGGTCAGTGAGTGTGCTCTCTCAGAAGCATGTGCCAGTAGGAGAGAAGCTGGCGAGAGTGTAGGGAACCCTGATCTGGGTGGAGAGACAAGGCACATGTGAATGCCCTTGTAACTCCCTAAATTCTCCGTGAAGTGTGTCCTTGGCCCGTGTCAACTCAACAAATGCCACACTTCCCAGTGTTCTCTTTCCCTGGGGCTGATCATGGTCAGACCTCACCCCAGGGGACCATTTCCTTGAAAATCACTCCCAGGCCCAGCAGTGGCAAGAGAAAGGCTGCAGGCTATGTTATGGATGACTTTTAGATGAAATAAAGAGGTTTATTTGTTTAAAAGTAAACTAAAAGGGGCATGTGCCCGCACAAACTTGCAAAGGTGAGGGCACCATGGAGCTGTCTGGGTATTTGTTGCTCCCCTCCTTGCCATCATGATCCACACAGACCGTGACTGACTTTGTCCCTGTCTGCCTGCCCTGTCAGCGGGTGCCCCTCAAGGACAGAGACGGAGTCTTGTTCGCTGATGTGGCTCCAAGGCCCAACACACACAGGATGCCCTCAGGAAACGGGGAATGGGTGGGAGGATGGGAGTTTGGGTGAATGATGTGGTAATCAGACCAAGAGAAACCTGCCTGAAAAAAGAGACATTCTGGGCCAGGTTTAGAAGGGCAGGTACGTGGCTTGGGTTCATTAAGGTAGGGAATGGAATCATGCAGAGAAGGAGTGGACAGAAAAGGAGGCAAGGAGCCAAAAACAGTATCTTATAAGAATGGGAGAGAAGATCTCGAGCTGGTGTGGTCTGGAAGTTTAGGGGGTGTTTGAGATGCTGTCCTCCTTAACCCTTCTGTCTACCTTCCTGCCGATTGGACTCCTGCTTTTTTCACACAGGGCTTCATCAGGCTGGACATGTCTGAGTTCCAGGAGCGGCATGAGGTGAGTGAAAGTCCTCGGTGAAGCGTGGTTTGGAGGGCCTGTCAGCATGACTACCTGGGTGTTTCGATGTGGCTTGTCATTTGGGCCTGAGATAATTCCAGCAGCCTTGGGATTTGGCTTTTGGGGGCATATATGTGCCGTAGGGTCACTGATCTGTTTGCATAGGAGTTGCTCTGAAGAATAAGCATAGAAAAGATCTATCTGCTGTCCCATCATGGCCGGATTCCTGCCACTCCAGGAGACAGCCGGACACTCCTTGTTGAGACAGGCAGTTTTAACTGTGTATAAAGCCATCTTCCTGTGCATGCCCCAAATTGGAAACTACAAGCATGGAAAGGCCTTTATAACATGTTTCCTTCCTTCCCCCAGGTGGCCAAGTTTATCGGATCCCCACCAGGCTACATTGGCCATGAAGAGGGCGGTCAGCTGACCAAGAAGCTGAAACAGTGCCCCAATGCCGTGGTGCTCTTTGATGAGGTGGACAAGGCCCATCCAGATGTGCTTACCATCATGCTACAGCTGTTTGATGAGGTAAGAGTCAGCTTGGGCCAGAATGAAGGCAGGGACACCTAGAGGTGTGGAGGTCTGAGAACAGTAAGAACCAAGGATCCAGAGACCTGTCAGATTATTTCTCAATTTGCTGCTCCCCCATGTGTACGTTCGGGCACTTAGCAGATGTGGCTTCACACCTCTGTGGACCAGGACCCAGGCTGGGCACTGAGGGAAGACCAGCACTGCCTAAGAGTTGAAATTTAGTCACTGCCCAGGGTACCCTCCCGAGAGACAGAATGGGGCAGAGGTGCCAGGAGAGAGAGATCTGAACTTCCAGTTCCAGTTCTGCTTCAACTTTAGGCATCAGAGACCTCACTTGACAAACAAGAAGGCCGGATGCAAGATAACCCGCAAGAACCCTTCTGGCTCATGGAGCTCTTCTGTGGATGTTCAGGCTCATCACAGATGAGGCAGTCCTCACCCCCCCAACACACACACACACACACTCTCTCTCTCTCTCTCTCTCTCTCTCCGCCCCCCCCGGTGGAATAAGTTCTAAATGAGAAAGAGAGCCCCTTTTACTCAGTTCATTCTATGTACTAGGCTGTGCTAAAGACTTTACAGATATTATCACTAAGCATTGTAGTAGCTGAGCAAAGTAGAAGCGATTTCAGTTTTTTACAGATGAAGAAATCAGGGTTCAGAGGTTATAAATGACTTGTCCAAGGCCACAGAGCTACTATATGGGGGAGCCAGGAAGGGGCTACAAATGCATATGACCCCAGAGCCACAGTTCTCCCCTCTGTATGATCATGGAGAGGTTGACCTCCACCCTTTCTAGTGGCTGCAGAGTCTTCTTTTCTGCTCACATGCAGGAGCCATATTAGCATCTTCTCCCCCAGCTCCCCAGCATCTTGTCCCTGCCTGAGTTTTGTTGCTGCCTTCCTAGCCCCTCAGCTACTCCCTGTCCCCAGACACTGCTATAGAATTAAAGATCAGTCCTTCAAATGTCACATATTCAGTTACACCTGTTCTCTGCGACCTCCTGCTCTATTGTAGCCTCTTGATGGGACTCAGGTGTTCAGCTGTGCACCAGACCTAAACCTGCCTGCCCTCAGGGCCTTCCTGTCTAGTGACAGGTAGAAAGGAGACATAATAATAGTTGATATTTTTGTACTTTATATACCAGGCACTGTTCTAAAAATTTACACGTATCAATTCCTTTAATCCTCCCAACGACCCTATGAAGATCATCGTTATTACTGCCTTCTTGTAACAAATGGGGAAACTGAAGTAAAGTGCGGTAAGTAATTCACCCATGGTCACACGGCTGGAAAGAGGGAATCCAGGTTTGAATCCAGACAGTCCAGCTCCAGAGCCTACCACTTAAATAATAACTTCCATGCAGCTAGAGCCCAAAGAAAGAGGTAGGGTTGCAGTGAGGTATTCACAGGAAGGGAGAGTCCAGCTGCCTGTTTGGCCTCTGACATTCCTGGAGAGGTACCTCTAATAGCCTCTTTGGCCCAGAAAGATGGAAAGCAGATGCGGACTGAAATACAGTTGGTCCCACATGGAAGCCCTGTCCACCCCTCCCCTGCTGTTGTCACTTCACAACTGCCTTTTGGTAGTTGATAATGTCTTTCTGCAAGACCCACAAGCCTGCCAGAGCTTCTGATGTTTATGCCTTTGGTTCTGTTGACCAAAGCTGCCATCTAAGTTCACTTAGCCAGGTTTGTGCATATGTGCCCCTTGACGACAGGGACCTTGTCCTATTACAACCTTTGCTAGAGCTCACAGAACCAGGGGAAATGCTCTGTTGATGAACGTAATTCGGTGGTAATTCAGCAAGCCTTCTAAGCGTGAATAAGTGTTTGCCAGGTGAACAGAGTGGAGAAGGGCCAGCAGTAGACATTGAATGTACAGAAGCCCAGTGGACATGAGGCAGCTGTGCCTCAGAATGGTGGGGATGAGATGGGTAAGATAGACTGCGGCAGTTAATATGCCAGACAAAGGAGCATAGATTTATTTGGGGGGTCGTAGGGAGCATTTAAAGACTTTAAGCAAGAGAGAAGGAGAAACATGGCCAGGTTTGCACTTTATATTAAAGTTCTTGTCGACAGCTGTGAGAGGATGGAAGGAAGAAGGGGGCAGCAAGGAGACTTATTGAAGAGTTCAGGCTGAAGTTGGGAGCAACCCTGCAGGCCTCAGTGATTGGATGGGAGGAGAGGGAGGGGCCAAGGGTGACGAGTGGCAGGATTTCCGGCCTGGGTGACTGGACTGCTGCTGCTACCGTCAGTGAGGCAGGGAATGCAGGAGGGTGAGCAGCAAATCGACGACAAAGGTGAGGAGCTAAGGTTTGGAATTATTGAAAGGTAATGCCTGAGGGACAGCCGGATGGAGATGTCTGAGCGGTCATTCATCAGTTGGAGAAGTCTGGATCACAGGAGAGGTGTGGCCTGGAAGTAGAAAGTCGGGAATGCTTCAGCACAGAGAAGGTCATGGAGGCCGCAGGAAGGGATGAGAGCTCAACGAGGGAGAGTGTAGTGTGCAGAGAAGAGGTGAGGGCTAAAACAGAGCCTGCCACCCATCAGGAAAGTCAAAGGGGGGATTGGTAGAGAGGCAGTAGGCAAAGCAAGGGACTATGGTTCATTGCGGGGCAGAGGGGAGACACACAAGAAAAAACAGTTCAACCCACTGGTGAGTGCTGCGCTAAAAGCAGCGGCAGTGGTGGGAGTTCTAAGGGCACCTAATCCAATCTGGGGACATGAGGGAAGCCCCCCATTCCCGCCCAGTCAGTTCTCCCAAACCTGGGCCCAAAAAAGCAGGAGTCTTACTGCTCTCACCAAAGCACCAAACAGGACTAACGCCAGTCACTTCCCAAATGACCCCGGAGCCTACAGCACAGGGCCAAAGTCCCAGGAAAAGACTGGCCCCCAAGGAGCGCACCCTTTTCTTCCTCAAAGGACAGAAGCAGTGGGAAAATAGCCCCTAGAGCCTAGGGTGAGCATTCATACCCTACCCAGAATGTGTACACTCCGGTCATTGCTGGGAGGTGGGATGGTGACAGCTCCCTCTTTGGGACACATTTATTGCCAAGGACTCAGAGAACAATGAGACATGAAGTCACCTTTGGGTCAGTCATGCACTGCACCTGCTCCCCTCACCCACCTGGGACCTATCCTCCGGCCCAGTTATGAACAGAGCTTTGATCTCTCGGAATGAAATTGCCGCTGGTTATTGCTCTGGCCAGTATAACAGTATGTGCACTCCGTCCTCAGGAGTGAGCTCTGCAAGCACAGTGTCATGTGCACGCACTTGGGCACATCACACTCACACAGACCTGGTCGACGCTAAGCAGTGGATTCTGTTGTATTGTAACCCATTCATTAGTGAGAAAGCTAATGGCAAAAGCTCAAGAGCATCCATTTGTGCTCCTGCCTTCCCCTTGTCCCACCCCAAGGCATGGGTGGGAGAGTGACCAGGGACTTGGGTCAGGAGGCCCTTTTGATTGGGTCCCCTTGGAAATAGCACTTCCTGAGAGACCTGATCCAAGGGCTAGTGTAAAGTGAGGCTGAAAAGCACACGTACCGTGCCCAGCATGCAGTAAGTGCTCAAGTAATACACATTCCTTCCCATGTTGCCTGTGAAGGCCAAGGCTGGTCTGCCATTGCATTGGTTTTGGAAGCCAGGGCTGACTGTGACTCAGGCCAACAGGGAAAGGGAAACACTTGAGGGTTGGTTACCAGCTGAGGCTGGGGCAGGCAGGAGCTGACACCTGAGGTCAGTGACCTATGCCCCAGAGTCAAGTTATCCGGCCTGGCAGGAGCTATACTTTGTCTGAAACCCAGAGGAAATCCCAGGCAGGACTCTCTCTTCCTACACCTCTCCCAGTTGTTCCTCTCCAGCAAGGATCAAAGGGTGCAAACTAAATTTGGCAGAATTCTGAGAAAATTTTATTTAGGGAAGAGAAAATTTTATGGAGTCTCACTTATCCAGCACTGTTGGTATGACCTCGGTAGCCTGGTGCAGAGGGAAGGGCATGGGCTCTGTGATCAGACAGTTCAGGCCTTGGTTCTAGAATTTACCAGCTATGAGATCTTGAATGAGTGAGTTAACCTCTCTGAGCTTCAGTTTCTCTGTAGGGGTAGTAAGGATTTAGGCATTCAACACACAGGTACTGAGCACTTACTGTGTGCCAGACTCTGTTCTAGGACTCAGTGAGAACAAGATCCATTCTCTCCCTTCTTAGAGCTTATAATGCGTAGAGTGCAATAGTGCACAGAACACATTAAGCAGGTCCCTATGGTGGAAGTGTCCATAATTTGCACAGCTTGGCTAACTAAAGAGCTTTCTCCAGTATGACTATATCTAGTCCTTATCTTGGCCTGGTAAAAAAAACTTTCCTCTGAACTCCTACAGCAACCTAGGCTGTTAGGGTCCCCTATCATAACACTTAATGCACTGACTTATCATTGCTGGTTTCCTGAGTGTCACTCCTCTAGACTGGGAATATGCTGAAGCCTCAATGAGTCTCCAGTGCCCCAACACAGAGCCTGGCCTAGAGTAGACTTCCAGGAAAGTGTGTCGGATGGATGCATGTGAAATCAAGCTCACTTCTGGATGCCAGGGATGACTGGGTGCCCTGATTGGTGGTACAGCAGATGCAGTCTCACCTGGAGCAGTTGTAGAGCAGTTGCTCCCCAGGGCAGTGAGCCCTGCAACCAAGGTGTGAGAACAGTGCTCAGAGAAGAAGCAGCTGACTCCGCCAGGCATGGGGGAGACCTCCTGGTACAGGTGCTCAGTCTTTCAGCTCCCTGACTGTGTAGCCACTCTTCTTTCCCAGGGCCGGCTGACAGATGGAAAAGGGAAAACCATCGACTGCAAGGACGCCATCTTTATTATGACCTCCAACGTGGCCAGCGACGAGATTGCACAGCATGCACTGCAGCTGAGGCAGGAAGCTTTGGAGATGAGCCATCACCGTATCGCCGAGAACCTTGGTATGGCACATGGCTGAGCTGTCTAGGCAACTGGGCAAGTACCCAGGTCACCAGCACATCTCTTGGAGCAAGGATGGCATTGGTGTCCTAGGCCTTGGTGAGGGTCCTAGTAGGCAGTTTTGGTGATAGCTGGCAATGACCAGATACTAAGCACCTTACCAGAGAGAGACAGTAGCCTCACTTCCTCAACAAAGCCCCAAATCTCAGGTGACAGGAGAGTTCCAGACAGAGGAATGGACAGAGCCACCCTCTGGGTGAGGGGCCAGAAAGAGGCCAGGGTCTTAGGGGATTGAAGAGACCCATACCTAACAGATGGAGATGCTTTGATACGACTACGGGACAGCAGTATAGTCCAGAAACTATACGGAGATGGACACAGCCTTTCTCAGCCAGGGAGCCCCCTGTGTAGGTGGGCTGGAGAGTGCTGGACAGGAAGAGGTATCAGACAAAAGGCTATGTCTGCCACCCTTCCATGTGGAATGGAATGAATCCTCTAGCCACCTCTGCCTTCTTCCAAGTCAGAACTCAAGTCTTAGCCCCGACTCTCCTCCTCCCCCCTCCCCTCCCTCACACAACTTCCACCCTAAGAACGCCAGGCTTTGTAGCACACAAGAGTTGGAAGGGCCTCGGAAAGCACCCAGTCCCACCCTGTCATTGTTCAGGTAAGGAGACCAGGTCAAGGCCCAGGGAGCCTGAGATGTTGACCAGGATCACACAGATCATCAGGGACAGGACCAGGACTCTTTTCAGGCATGGGGTCAAGAGGCAGGCATCTCTCCCAAAGCCCTCTGGGTATGAAGAGCAGGCACCTTATAGTTCATTTTCTACAGGAGATGTCCAGATTAGTGACAAGATCACCATATCAAAGAATTTCAAGGAGAATGTGATTCGCCCCATCCTGAAAGTAAGAGATTTTTGTCTTTTCTGCTAGAGCCTTGGGTGGAGGGATCCCTTTAGCCATCCTAAAGCTATGGAAGCCCCCATACCTTCCCCATTGGGGTCCAGTAATTGCCTTTACCCCCATCTGGGTCACTGAGCTCACCCTACCTCTTACCTGGCCCTGCAGGCTCACTTCCGGAGGGATGAATTTTTGGGACGAATCAATGAGATCGTCTACTTCCTCCCCTTCTGCCACTCGGAGCTCATCCAGCTAGTCAACAAGGAACTGAACTTCTGGGCCAAGAGAGTGAGTGGAGACTGCCCACGGGTGGGGATGGGATATCTGCCTGTTGGGAGCACCTCTCCCAAAAGACGGAGCACAGTGGTATGGGGCCCGTGGCCCTGGGGCACACAGTCCCTCACAGGCCCAGGCCTCAGGCATGAGTGGTGAGAGCTGGAAAGCACTGGGCCTCATGCTCCTATCTGACCTTTTTTAGGCCAAGCAACGGCATAACATCACATTGCTCTGGGACCGCGAGGTGGCAGATGTGTTGGTCGACGGCTACAATGTGCACTATGGTGCCCGCTCCATCAAGCATGAGGTGAGCACAGGAGCCTAGAGAAGTGAGGCACCTCCACTCCTCTCTCCCTGGTGTCCCCAGACCTAGTCTCTGGGCTCCCAGCCTGGAATTGTTCATACCAGAGCAGAAGCCCATATAGAATGAAAACCACAAGATGATCAAGTTAAACTCCTGTTCTGGAGGGTAGCCAAGTATGAACCCCTACCAGGATGGGGAACTGAGTTGGGAACCTCAGAAACTGATATCATTGAGTTTCTAGCACAGTCCTGCAAGCTGCGTATTGTTAGCCCTTTGCAAATGAGAAAACTAAAGCTCAGAGTAAGCACTTGCCCTGGCTGGAAGCGATAGAGCCTGGCCTTCAGGCTCAGGCCGCAGGCTGGCCCAGGCCTCAGCAGTGACAACTACTTCACCCGCCACCTGCAGGTAGAACGCCGTGTAGTGAACCAGCTGGCAGCCGCCTATGAACAAGACCTGCTACCAGGCGGCTGCACCCTGCGTATCACTGTGGAGGACTCAGACAAGCAACTGCTCAAGAGCCCTGATCTTCCCTCATCCCAGGCCGAGAAGCGGTCACCCAAGCTGCGGCTGGAGATTATTGATAAGGACAGCAAGACCCACAAACTGGACATCCGGGCACCACTACACCCTGAGAAGGTGTGTCATACTCTCTAGCATCCACCTACCTGCCTAGTGCCCTCAACATCCAATAAAGGCCCCTCGGCTGTGGCATGGCACCTGACCTACCTTTCCCTCATACCTTATTCCTCTCCGCCAGCCTGAGGCCTCTTACCTCCTCACAGCCCCTGCAAGACCCTCATCAGCCCCAAAGTCCAAAGCAGGAATTTTGAGCTTTCCTCCCCACTTTGCTGTGGGGCCAAAACTTGCTAACGAGTGTCCAGGAGGGGAGCTCCCCCTATACCCCCTTTAAGGCAGAGAGGAAAAGGAGGTCCCTTATCTCTGTCCTCCAACATGATCCCCATGCCCCATAGTCTCTGGAACTTCATCACATTTCCTGGAAGCTCAGAAGTACGGCAGCGAAGAACAAATCTGGCTGGAAGAAGGCAGGGGCCAGACTGTGACCTGCCACCCTCTGCTAGCCCTTGGAATGTCCTCCGAGAATGGAGGCAGAGTACAGAGGCCCTGCAGTTTGGGCTGGGCCTACTTCTTTCCCATGCCCTAAAATTCCAAGGGGAAGGGACCCATGGAACCCTTCCCCCTTCCGCTGCCATATCATAGCCACTGTTCCTTCTCACCTCGCATTCTGGGATCAGGCCGGACCAGGCTTCTCCCGCCTTGGGACTAGGCCAATGCAGAGCACCTCTAGGAAGAAGGCTGAGTGGGTCACCACCATGGCCTATGTTGGGACTGGGCAATAGTACCAAGTGACCAAGTAAGCTCAGCTCTCTGGGGCCTCCTTCAGGAGACTAATGACATAGACCCTAGGGAGCTCTAGAGGGAAAGATAGAGATCATGGTGTCTGCCTCAGTCCTGTCTACACTGCTCTCTCAGCTGAGCTTACCTGAAATAAACAGCTCCCCCATGCACTCTCCATGTTACTTACTAAGCAGAAGGTCTGCACACCATCCTCTGTGGTCCAGCCCAGCTTAGCTAGGCATAGAAAGATCTGGTGCGTCCTTGGGCATCATCTGCAGTAGCCCCCATTGATGATCACCCCATCACCATCCCCCTGTGAGGCTGTTTTGAAACCCTTCTTTGGTGTTAGCTCATCTCTTTCAGGAAGCAAAAAATGGGGCCAGGAATCAGAGTTCCCTGGGTGATGGGAGAATGTCATGTAACAGTATGGTGGGTATAAAGCGGTCATAAGCCAGGACTTGGGCTCTAGCAGGCACCACGTCGCCCCTCAAGGAGCTGTGTCTGCTGCTCCCTACCTCAGTGACTGCTGTTTTTTGTGTTTTTTTCTTAATGTAGACTTACAGAAAGTTCCAAAAATGGTAGAGTTCCCATATACCCTCACCTAGCTTCTCTTAATAGGAACATCTTATTAAAACCATGGTATAATTATTAAAATCAGGAAATTAATATTGGTACAGTTCTTCTAACTAATCTGTGGACATTCAAATTTTGCCAGTTGTTCTGCTACTGCTGTTCTTGTTCTGGTTCAGGACCCAAGGCAGGTTCCTGATCCCACCTTGCATTTTGTCATCATGTTTCCTACATCTCCTTCAGCCTGACAGTTCCTCCGTCTTTCTTTGCCTTTCATGACTTGGACACTTGAAATGTCCAGGCCAGTCATTTTGAGGAATGTCCCTCAACGTGGGTTTGCCTTCTGTTTTCACGTGATTAGACTGAGAGTCTGCATTTTGGGCAAGACGACCCCAGAAGTAATGCTGTGCCCTTCTCAGTGCCTCCTGGCAGATAGTTAACTTTGGTCACATGGCTGAGGTGATAGGTGCCAAGTTTCTCCACTATAAAATTACAAATTTCTCCTTTGAAATTAGTAAGAATCTTGGAAGGAGATACTTTGAAGCAGTACAAATGTCTTATTTACCCTTAGAATTTTGCCCACTGATTTTAGCACCCATTAATGGTTCTTGCTTACAGCAAGTATTAGTGTTTTATTTGCCTAATGATGATTTTCTGTTTACTTATTCCACCAATATTTATTAAGTGGTATTCTACTGTAAGGAAGAGCTCTCTTTTCCCCCATATATTTATTCAATAATTTATTTATCTGAGTATAAACTAATGGATATTTGTTTTCTTCTGTGGATTATAATCTAATATTAACATAGTTTATTTTGTTACTCTTTCAGGCCTAGATTTGGCCATTGGGAACCCTTCAACTTGGCGCCTGTGTTGTTTCAGCATTGCCCCATTATTATTATTTATTTTTTTTTTTTAGCACTTCTTTACTTTCTGGCACCACAAGATGTTCCAGACTCACTCATATTTTTTTTTGCCCCAGCCCTGACATTAGCTATTTCTCCAAGCAGCACCCAGTTTCTGTTACTCAAGAATGATACATAGAAACCAAGATCTGGGCAGAAGATGTATTCATTGCTACTGGAGTGTCATTGCTTCTAGGCCCTTTCAGCTCACAAAAGTAGGAAATACATATATATATATGTATATGTATATATATATATATATATATATATATATGTGTGTGTGTGTGTGTGTGTGTGTGTGTGTATATGTGTATATATATATGTGTATATGTATGTATGTATGTTAACACACGCACCACACATATCTGAATTTATTACTGTATCTCTCTATCTGTATATTATTAAAAACCATGCATTCATATTGATAGCTACAGTGCCAATCCAATATCACAGAGTTTGTGACTGTTATTATTTTGACTTCACTGTTGTTCTGCTTTTCTTCTCCTGGTATCTCCGTTTCTTCTTGTTTTGCTGTTTGGTGTCCAGATTTCCCTTAGCAGCTCTAATTAAGTCAGTGAGGGCCCATCCTCAATGGCAGGGGTCCAACTCCAGGTACCAAGGGTACTTCAGACTGGTACCAGTCCGGGCCTGTTAGGAACCAGGCCACACAGCAGGAGGTGAGCTTGAATGTAATGTGTCTGAATCACCCCAAAACCATCCACCCACCCCCAGTCCACAGAAAAATTGTCTCCCACAAAACCAGTTCCTTGTGCCAAAAAGTTTGGGGACTGCTGCTCTGTGGAACATTACTATTGGGTAAAATTCTTTTGCCTGGCGGTCAGTCTCCTTGGTTCAATCAACTGTGGTCAGGAGCAGCAGGCTTATAACTCAAAACCAGATGACTTTTATGCAAGAACACCCAGTGGCCCTCTTAATGAAAGGAGGGTAGGGGACAGGGTAGGCCCTCGGATTCTGAGGGACTTAAGTATCACTATTTCTAGGGATTCTTAGTTAGACCTTTGTGATGTTGGACCCCTATCTTGCACTTTTGTAGCATCCCAGGCCGTACTCGGCTCACTTACGGTACTTGTTTTATGTCTGTCTGTGTCACTAGAATGTGAGTTCCAAGACGGCAGATACCCAGTTGTTCAGCTCACTGTCCCATTTGTAGAACCTGGCTCAGTGCCAGCACAGGATGGCTGCTCCAGGTATTTGGATGAATGGTGGGCCCTGCAACAAGCACAGGTCTTCACAGTCGGTTCCAGGACAGAACAGTGTTACTTGTTCGCTGAGCACACATTTAATTGTCCTGTGCTTGTGGCCAGGCAGTAGGACCTGCCAGGGTGAACCCCTGAGTGAACGGGCCAAAGTAAGACCCAGGTACTTTACTGAGTGTCCTGAAAAGCACAAGGCCAGACTGGGAGATGGGAATATAACACCAGCACCTTTATTCACAAGGAAAAACTCAAAGCTGTGTAGTGATTGTTTTAGAAATTTAGGGGGGAAAACACATTTAAACCATAATAACACAGGAAATGGACTACTAAAGATAAAACCTGAAGTTATGAAGTAGGATACTAAAAAGAAGGAGCTTAAATAGAAAAATGATTCTTTGAACACACCAATAAAATAGATAAAACCTTCTTAGCCTGATAAAGGGGGAAAGAGCAAAATAATAAAATAGGAGAGGATCAGGAATGAGAAATCAGACATAACCATAAATAGGAAAGAGTTGTAAATAATTTTAGGAGTACTCTGGCAACAAATTTGAAAACCAGGCAAACAGATAATTTCCTAGCAAACACTGACCCAAGGTATTGTTTGAATAGACAAATTAATTACCAAAGAAGAAATTGGAAAGTGATTAAAAATGTAACTTTTTAGAAGATTGTATTTTATTTAGACTTTTTTATTGATATATATAAAGTGCAAAAGTCACAAGTATACAGTTCAATTAATTATCACAAAGCGAGCACCAAAAAAATAGGTGAGTTGTAATTTTTAATTACCATATAAACTGCTTCAAACCATGGGAAAAGATGAAAAAATACTCAATAAATTTTTAAAGGCCAGTATAAGAGATTAATACTCAAATCTGATAAAGTGCAAAAAAGAATGCCATAGCCTAACCTCACCTATGACTACAGATGCAAAAATTCCAAATAAAATCATGTCGAGCTGTACACCATGATAACATAAGGTTTATTTCAGCAACACAAGCCTCAGTTATCAGGATATTTATTAATGTAAATTACTACATCAAGAACCTGAAGATTATTTAAATGTACAGATTAGACATTTAATGTTAATTTTCCTATTTTGATAATATTTCTTATAGAATTATGTAAGAGAACATCCTTGTTTTTAGAAAATATGTGTTGAAGTATTCAGAGGTTAAAGGTAAGGACAATTTGCAAATATTTCAGGAAACTACACACACACATTCATATGTACACACATAGAATGGTCAAACTAAAGTACAGCATTTGGAAACTGAATGAAGGCTGTACAGGAATCTTTGTATTGTTTTTGCAACTCCTCTGTAAGTAAAATTATTTCAAAATAAAGGTTTTTTAAATGAAAGGAGATAAAACATTTCATCAATATAGGCTGAAAAAGCATTTGTTAAAATCTTACAGCTTTAAGTATGATTTGTTAAAGCTGTAAGTAAAAGGAGGAAAAACTATGCATCAAAAACCAATAGCAAATATCATTTTTAATTATAAATGCTAAAGCTCTTTCTATTAAAGTTTGAAATAAGATTCAACATGGCTTTGAAATTCAGGTGAAAGCAATTAGGCAAGAAACTAATTGACAAATATGGGAAAATAATAAATTCTTGTTTTGCTGATATAAGACTGTATTTGGGAAATCCAAAAGGCTACAGTAAAACCTATTAGCATTAATAAAGAAATTTGGTAAGTAAATAAAACATAAATGTACAAAAGTCAATAGCTTTTTTCTATTTTAGCAATAATCAACCAGAAACAATAACAAAAGGAAAGTATTCCATTCATAATTGCAACAAATAGGAGTATAGATGTGCTCATATATACATAAAATGCCTCTGGGAGGGAATAGCAATGAACAGGAAAATTCACTCAAGTCATTTTTACATTTTTATATTAAATTTTGAATCAATGTGTTACCTATTCAAAGTTACATAATAATAAATTTAAAAAGAAAGATTGAAAAGCATAAAACAAGATCTGATGAATGAAAAGACATACCAAGTTTTTGGTAAAGAAGACAATATTATCATTATAGTGTCAGTCCTTAAATTAATACACAACTCAATGCAAATCCAGCTAGACTCAATAGCATTTTTTTAAAGGTTGTATTTATTTAATTTTAGAGGGGAAGGGAGGAAGAACGAGAAGGAGAGAAACATTGATGTGTGAGAGAAACCGATCAGTTGCCTCTCACACACCTATCCTGGGACCTGGCCTGCAACCCAGGCATGTGCCCTGACTGGGAATCAAACTGGCAACCTTCTGGTTTGCAGGACAATGTCCAACCCACTGAGCCACACTTGCCAGGGCCTCAACGGCATTTTTAATTTAGTAAAATTAAAGTCAGGTGGGGCTAATTTTTTTTTATCTAGGCTCTCAGGAGATACAGGTTACTACTTCTGTCAGTAACTTCAATCCCATCTTGATAGTATGCAAACTAGAGAAAAAGTGAATTTAGCTATCAACAACACACATCCTAACTTGGATTCCCATATTTTAGTTTCAAGATCAGCTGTGTTGAACTTTTTCCCCTGGTTACATACTCAATATTCCCATATTTGAGATGGGAAGGGAGGTTACCTGGAACTACCAGTCTGTTGTATGTTAGTCAGGTGTCACCCCAAACAGTTGTGCATAATGCAATCAAAGGGTCTTAGGTGGATGCTGCTTTTATTGTCAGACCCAGAAAGTGAGTCCTTCACTGCTTCTCAGTGGTTATTTCTCATCCTTTCCACTTAAAAAAATTCAGCAGTTGACTCTTCAGCCTTGTCGTTGCTCTCTTGATGACTCTTCCTCATTCAAGGAAGATTTTAGCTCCCGTATCACTTTGTCTCTTCCCCAACACATGCCATCATTCCTGGGGGCTTCACTTCCCACAAGTGACTTTCCTGACCCCTGCTCTCCTCACAGGCAGTGATCTTTTTCTGCTCCTGCCCACTTCAGCCACCTATGTCATGGCCACATCCTGAATTTTATCAATAACAAGTGCTCTTCCTCCAAAAGCCCCTTTTTCCTCTGGCCAGTCTAGTATCCAGAGTAAGTAAAGAAGATTTACAACTTGACAATAAAAAGACAACCTAATTTAAAAATGGAAAAGTGTCTGAATAGATTTTTCCGAAGAAGATATACAAATGGCCAATAAGCCATCAATTTGCCATCAGGGAAATGCAAATCAAAACCACAGTAAGATATCACTACACACCAACTAGAATGGCTGTAATCGAAAAGATGGACAGTAAGCGTTGGTGAGGATGTGGAAAAAGTGGGAATGTAAAATGATGCGACCACTTTGGAAAAGAGTCTAGCAGTCCAAAAAATTAAACAGAGTTTCCGTATGTCCCAGCAGTGGATATATAATTCCACTCCTAAGTATACACCTAAGAGTCATGAAAACATATACCCACACAAAAACTGGTTACACAAATAGTATAAAAAAAAAGGGGGGGGGGCCCAGAAAGTGGAAATAACCCAAACATTCATCAGACTGATGAATGAATAAACAAAGTGTGGTATATCCATACAATGGAATATTACTCAGCCATAAAAATAATGAAATACTGATTTATGCTACAACGTGGATGAACTTTGAAAATAGGCTAAATGAAAGAAGTCAGTTACAAAAGAGCACATATGATGATTTCATTTGTATGAAATCCAGATAGGCAAAC